CAGCTTGTAGGTCACTGGGACTTTAAAAAAGAATGGGAAAAGGTGCCTGCATGGCCACCTCCTGGGGACAGAAAGAAATGATCAAGCACCATGGTAGTAGGAGGGAATTTTTTTATTTTGAGGACTTGGTTTTCTGAGGGAGGGCTGTGACTTATGCTTCTTTTGTCCCCCTACAGAGCCTAGTACAACAAATAATTGTTCGTGTTTTTATTCTAGGGAGGCAAGTACATGCAGGCAGTGATTCAGTATGGAAAGATAGTGTCCTGGCTAGAGATGGAGTATGGTTTATCAGAAAAAGAATCGAAGGCTTCTGAATCGTTTCTGCTTGCTGCCTTTCTGAACCTGGCCATGTGCTACCTGAAGCTTAGAGAGTACACCAAAGCTGTCGAATGCTGTGATAAGGTAAAGAGTGTCTCATGGACGATGGACTTTAGATATTCCAGAACTTTCTGTCCATCCCCACGCTTAGTCATCTTTTGCTGCTTCTCAACCAAGGGTTGGACAGTTTTTCATTTTGCTCTGTTTTATTTATATGTTTGGGGATTATTTGTTTCTCAATATAAAATGGGAAATTCAAAAAGATTTTGCTTGTAGTCAGACTTTTCTGATGCCTACACTGTAATGATCCATTATGAATGAAAATTTTCATAAAATTAAACTATTCTTATCCTTGGCCTTCCTTAAACCTATGACATTTGGTATCAGATTAGACATATAACTCCTCAGGTTCAGTTTAACAGGAACAGATTTAACTTAAGCTTTTCAGGACTTTAATATAATAGGCTGTGACTGTTCACATGAAGGATATATACAAGTCATTTTTTATTATTTATTCACTGAGTAAGGATACATGTAAATAAAGACCCACAAAGCATCAGCAGCCCACTCCCTATTCACAAATGTAATACTACTGTGACTGGTCTTTTAATACTTAACGTAGATCTCCAGGACAATGGTTTATTATATGTGCTACTCTAATATTTCTGTATACCAGCTGATTCTGTTATTTTAGGTATTTGGTCTCAGGATGAGCAGTGTATATTACATTATGAGTAAAATCTAATAATTAGATGTGTCTTAAAGATAGACATAAAGGGATAAGAAAAACAAGAAGCAATTCTGTTTCTTCCATTCTTTGTAAGATTATTTTTGAGTTTTGGTGAGTTTTGCTTGAGAAAGGGATGTTATTGTTAATTACCTTTTTTAGATTTTATGCTTCTTTATTATTATTGCTCTGAAACTTGTTCTTGAGCGTAGAGTAGCTAAAGCAAAGGTAAGAAATGATGAAGTAAAAGAGCTGAACAGCAATTCAAAGAGCAGCTCAAGAAGTTAAGTATTATAGTGAAATGTACAAAGACCTGGAGTTAGAAAACCAAAAAGGAGGCACACGCTCAGCATTTCTCAAGCTGAAAGAAATGAAGAAAAAATTCAAGCCTCGAGTTGCAATATTGAAGGATTCTATAGGCAAAAAATTGAATGACACAGGGTGCACCAAAAGAAGATGGGAGGAATACAGAGTCACTCTACCAAAAAGAATTGATCGACGTTCAGCAATTTCTAACCAAAAACCCACTGCCATCGAGTTGATTCTGACTCGTAGTGACCCTATAGGACAGAGTAGAACTGCCCCCATAGGGTTTCCAAGTCTGTAAATCTTTACGGAAGCAGTCAGTCACATCTTTCTCCTGTGGAGCAGTTGGTGGGTTCAAACTGCTGACCTTTTGGTTAGCAGCCAAGTTCTTTAACCACTGTGTCACCAGGGCTCCTGACTCAACCATTTCAGGAGGTAGCTGTGATCAAGAACCGATGGTACTGAAGGCATTTGCAAAAAACAAAGCTCCAGGAATTGATGGAATACCAACTGAAGTGTTTCAACAAACAGATACAACACTGGCAGTGCTCATTCTTCTATGCCAGGAAGTTTGGAAGACAGCTACCTGGTCAACCAACTTTTGTGCCCATAACA